GCTCCTCCTCACCGCTCCTCCTCACTGCTCCTCCTCGCCGCTCCTCCTCGCCCCCTGAAAGTGAACCAGAGTGAAGATGTTCGTCGGGGGGAGGCTCTCCTCCTCCGCCCTCCTGCCTCCTGGGAGGGAAACGCCGGCGCTGCAGCTCAACCCGGCCGACGTCCCCGCCCTGGAGATCAAACTGGGAGCGCTGGTGGTCCTCCTCTCCGTCACCCTGCTGTTTGGGTTCGCCCCGCTCTGCATCGTCCGGGGAGCGGGCTCCTGCTGCGTGGACCCAGGTAAGGAAGCCGGCGAGCACCAGGACTTTACCTGAGCCTTCAGGTGCTGCTGTCGGTCTGATCCCTGATGTGGTTTGTTCACAGATTCGCGGCGCCGGCTGCTGAGTCTGATCAGCTGCTTTGCTGGAGGAGTTTTCCTGGCCACCTGTCTGCTGGGCCTGCTGCCGGACTACCTGCAGGGCATCAACGAGGCCTTCAGCAACGCAGGAATCACAGTAAGACCTCACGAGTCCGGACTTTGGACAGTCAGTGCAGCATCACGAGCACATTAACGCTGAGTCTCTAACATCAGCCTCCATAAAGCTACTGACCCCGAGGCTGTCGTACTCAATGAGGCATTTTATTGCCTATGAATTCAACTCAGAGTTATTTCTTAAAGGATATGTGTGTGTGTGTGTGTGTGTGTGTGTGTGAGAGATTGAAGACTGAGAGCACAAGTACATAAAAAGTTAGGTGGTGATAGTATTTATAAACTGTATTATGAAGGATATAAGTCAGTAAATCAATCATACGTTCTCCTATTTAAACAGCTACTCCACACTTGAACATTCAGTGATATACGACTGTGATGAAAATCTGTATTGTAAGATGTTTAAAACCGCCGTCTGCTGTTCTTAAATCACCCTGAACCTTGCATTGGGACACAGAGTGAACACTTTGGGACTACTTTACGACGGCAACGCTACCATTAAATGCTTCAACTGCTTCAAACTGTCTGATTTTGAAGAGGAGGGCAGCCGAAGGTCGGTGCTAAAAAAGACACTGCTGGGAAACGTGTGTGTGTGAGAGAAAGGGGGGTGTTTAACGGGAATCGCTGTCCTCCCTCACAAATACTATTGAATTAACCTCCAGCTGCTTCAACAGGCAAAAGTTAGACTGTGGTAACACCGTGTGTGTGTGTGTGTGTGTGTGTGTGTGACCTTCCTTCCTGTCTCACACACACACACACACACTGTTTGATGTGTTTTTTTTTTTAACTGCCTTCCAGCACTTGCTGTTTTCTGGAGGTTGTGAAATCATTTTCAGGCATTAAAGTGCTTTTAACAGAATTAAGAGAGTTTTTCGTTTGAATTAAAACTCAATCTGTGACTATGAGTAATGTGAAAGGTGTCACTCGTATAGACACTGCAGCTTTTTTAGCCTCTTTTAGCTCCTAATTTTAGTTTGACTTCACTTTTCCTGCAGTTTTTTTGACACAAATACTGTTTAAAAAACAATAATCACCAAACAGAAATGGAAACATGGATATGCATACAGGCATAATAGTAATAATAATAATACTACTACTAATAATAATTTAGGTTATTTCAGTTCAGTTAGATTTTATTCTTCATGTGCAAACACAACCAGACTCCATTTACAAAACCAGTCATTTTACCTGGCAGATAATTGTGAAACACAACTCAAACTGTACAGAAACAAAATAAAACTCACCCAAACCATCTCTGTTTGTTCCACTGACAGACTCAGGTTGT